TTGAATGTTGAGCAGCGAGCTCATTGGCTACCAATACAGGAGAGAACCAATCAGCTGTGCCATGTGATAATGATGTCATTAGGTCAGATTGAGTTAGACCTATCGGACTGCGCCATCTAGAGTTTCATGCCAGAACTCAATATATTTAAATTGCCTTTGACGAGACAAAATTGAGAACTGCTGTATATTTTAGAATTACTAGCCTCTAGTTAAAATACTGCGCAAACACTTTGGGACTGATATTACACAAAAAATCTTTTCTACTTTTAATAAATTCGCTAAGTAGTAGCATAATTAAATTGGTAGTAATTATACCACCAGCAAACCAAAATTTAAACTGTTAATGCAATGGACCCTGCTCATGCATGTCTGTACCGAGTCTGTACTTATTCACAGGGCGATTCCAGCAGAGGGGGAATCAAAAGGAAATCAATTCACATCTCAAACACCTCCCAGTGCATCTACTGCCCAGGGCCACCAGTTAATGTTGTTTGCGCAGCATTAGTCTGAGTTACCATGGGACTGGGAACTCAGTTCTACACAAAATAAAAATGTTAGCTCATATTTGGGCTGTCATTGGCACTCACCTGCAGACCAATGGGACCGGGAGGTCCAGGAAAGCCTCGGGATCCTTCATCTCCCTTCTGTCCAAACATACCCTGCTGTCCACGAGGACCTGGTTCACCATCAGCTCCCTGAAATAGGCATAAGTCAGAGTCGCAATGCATTTCATTAAATTTGAAATGACAGAAATAGTAGATGTGAAATTATTCTGGATGTGTAGTCAAGACGTACAGCAGGTCCAGGAGCTCCAATAGTTCCCTGAAGACCAGGTGGACCTGGTGGACCCTAGTGGACAACACAATGAAGAAGGTGATCAGAACAGAGCTGTGCTAAGAGATGGGAATCTCAAGAAATTCAACAATTCTGGTTCCTCAATCATTTAATTACTGACTCTTCTAGCACTTTTGAGGGAATAATTCCTTTAAGTTAGGTAATTTCGAGTTAGACATAGTATGGACCGATTGAGTGATTGACATGTTTTCAAGACTGATTCATGATTCTTTTAGACCAATTAATTAAAATAACTGGTTTGTATGATTCATTCATTTGTGAATCAGACTATACTGGTTGTGCTGTATGTTTGTTGTTGCATGCAACCAGCAAGAACAACACAAAATAAGTAAATTTAATGTCTTTTTTTTTTTTTTTTAACCATTGGAAGAAACCTTAAAAAATGAATGTCATGAAAATCATTCAGTAATGGTATTTTATGTAAAATCGGTTCTGAATGCAAATCATACCGTGTGTATAAATAAGGATTTTACAATCTAATTTACTCACCTGTTCACCTTTGTCGGCTTTGCTTCCCTTCTGGCCTGGTTCGCCCACTTCTCCCTGGAAGGGTCATGCAAAATCCATTTTTCCTTTTTAAAACTATATAACGTATAAAATCACAGACTGGTGAATATAACTGAAAGAAACTCCATGTTGAAGTAAACCGTTTACTGTGCAGTAAAAGATATGACATTACTGTTGACCTGCATGGAGTTTTACTGCAAATGAAATTATAAATATTGTCTCTGAACTAACAGACATGGCCAGATAAAGCATTTCTACAACATATTCTTGGCACGTAAACCCATGAAGCTTGTTAGAGGATACTGATGGAGAGACAACGTTTATGGTACCCTGCGCTAATTTGATTACAGGCCGCCTTTGCTGATGATGATGGATTGGCGGCAGCAAAGAGTGACTGAGAGATAGGCATGTGTTTCAGATGGCCGTGCAGTGTGTGTTTGTGATGATGAAGAATGATCGCTGTCCAAAAAGTGAGGGCGAGGAATTCTGGGAAGAGATTTGAGATATACTAGAGTGATAGGAGAGAAATAATTTTCTTGTTTTCTAGTAGAATATTTCAAAATCTTTAAAACAAGAAAAAAATATTTGAGACACAACACTTTAGAAGATACTAAGACTTTTTTTCTTGAATTAAATGTATTTTTCTTTCTTACCTTACTGGCAAATAGTTTTTAAAAGGAAAAAGTGAAGAAATTGAAGAAGTTTTAGTGAGATTTATGCTTAAAAACTATTCGCCAATAGGATAAGATAGATACATTGTGAAAGCTATTTCATTTTACTAATTTTACTTGACTTTAGTTTTCACGGTGTAATGAAGGTTTAGAAGTGATGACGGAAAACTTCCATTCTTGAATTAAATGTATTTTTCTTTCTTATCTTACTGGCAAATAGTTTTTAAAAGGAAAAAGTGAAGAAATTGAAGAAGTTTTAGTGAGATTTATGCTTAAAAAGTATTCGCCAATAGGATAAGATAGATACATTGTGAAAGCTATTTCATTTTACTAATTTTACTTGACTTTAGTTTTCACGGTGTAATGAAGGTTTAGAAGTGATGACGGAAAACTTCCATTTTCATTCCACAGTATGAAAGTTAAGATGAAGTGCAATCCATTACAGTCCTGCAGTGGTGACTTTGAATTGTCTGCGTTAACTGACACATCAAGAGAAGCATAATGTAATGTGTCCCCTCTCTACTGTCTAAATGTATTAACATGAATCAAAATTGCAATTAACCTTGTCACCATCTTCTCCAGGTGGACCCTGAGGTCCTGCTGGCCCCGGCAGACCAACTGGACCTTGTACTCCATCCCGACCGGCTGGACCTGGAGGACCTCTCTCTCCCTGAACAAAGACATGTGATAAAAGATATAAATAGTGCTAAGGTGGAGGTTATGTGGTTACTATGAAACCTTAAACTATTCACTGTCACTCATAAATGTCTTATGTAATATAAGAAACACAAATTGATTATCATTGTATCTAATCAGCACAATTACCGGTGCACCCTTCTCTCCAGCAGGTCCCGGGGGTCCCTGGGGTCCAGTACGTCCAGACAACCCAATGGGGCCAGCAGGTCCTGCTGCTCCTCTCTCACCAGGGGAACCCTATGACAAAGAGTGATTTAACATATTTGACACTTAGATACTCCATAGACATATATATGCTACACAAGTCTGATTTACTGAAGCATATACTACATTAATATGCTTCTAAAGATCTAGCGTACCTCACGTATTAGTCATGTATAAAGGATTAAACAGGTTTCTCCCAAACCACATCTTTTTAAGGATGTATTTTTAGTGCTGAAAATCCAAATGAGGAGCTTTTGATTATGAATGATTCTGCTCTAGCCCCAAAAATCAAGACATTTCAGACAATTTTCAGACTGTTCCTTCTGTCAACTGCATAAATAACTCCATAGAAACATAGAAAGCTAGCTCTTTGTAAAGGTTACGTGTTTAACCCTCGTTCCCTGGAGGAGGGAACGGAGACATTACATCCAGTCACCATAATTGCTGATGTCTGTGTTGATGTTAGGGGGTTGCTATGTGGTTGCTAAGGTGTTCAGAGTGTTTCAACATGTTTATAGTCAAATGTTAGGCTGTTGCTATGCAGCTGCTAAAGAATTCTCAGTGTTTTTTAACATGTTGCTATGCAGATGTTAGAATGTTGCTATGCGGTTGCTAAGGTGTTCTGATTGTGTTTGATGTTGTTATGCTGATGTTAAGCTATTGCTATGCGGTTGCAAAGGTGTTCTGATTGTTTTTGATGTTGTTATGCTGATGTTAAGCTGTTACTATGCGGTTGCTAAGGTGTTCTGATTGCTTTTTATTTTGTTATGCTGATGTTGTGGTGTTAATATGTGGTTGCTAAGCTGAGTGTTTTTAACATAAAGGGTTCTGAGTGTTTTTAATATGCTGATGTTAGGCTGTTGCTATGCAGTTGCTAATGAGTTTTGTGTTTTTAACATGCTACTATGCAAATGTTAGGCTGCTGCTATACAGTGGCTAAGGTATTCTGATGGTTTTTACCATTATTATGCTAATGTTAGGGTGTTGCTATGTGGTTGCTAAGGTGTTCTGGATGTTTCTAACATGCTACTATGCTAATGTTAGGCCATTGCTATGCAGCTGCTAAGGAGTTCTCAGTGTTTTTAACATATTGCTATGTGGATATTAGGCTGTTGCTATGCGGTTGCTAAGGTGTTCTGCGTGTTCATAATGCAACGCTATGGGATTTAGTACCCATTTAAATATCGTAAGTCCTACAACTTTCCTCAACAAGCCAATACATTTGTGGTTTCATATGTCTGTGGTACAAACAATGCGGGACAGTTTATGCACCTGATAGTGATATTTGCCTTTGCAAACACTGCTAATTAAGTCATTGCATTGGGACAGTACAGAAGGTCTTCAACAAATTAGGATGAAATTGTCCAAACAACCTGTGCAATGCGTTGCGACTAACAAGTGCAACAAACTTCCGTACAACAGAGTGTGGTGAGAACTATACAATCAGAACGGCACAGCGTCAGCTAAGAGGGGAGCTGTTGAAAGAACAAAAAAACTTTCTGTTGGGCGACAAATATCGTAAGTCCTACAACTTTCTTCAACAAGCCAATACATTTGTGGTTTCATATGTCTGTGGTACAAACAATGCGGGACAGTTTATGCACCTGATAGTGATATTTGCCTTTGCAAACACTGCTAATTAAGTCATTGCATTGGGACAGTACAGAAGGTCTTCAACAAATTAGGATGAAATTGTCCAAACAACCTGTGCAATGCGTTGCGACTAACAAGTGCAACAAACTTCCGTACAACAGAGTGTGGTGAGAACTATACAATCAGAACGGCACAGCGTCAGCTAAGAGGGGAGCTGTTGAAAGAACAAAAAAACTTTCTGTTGGGCGACAAATCTACTCTTACTAGTGGGCGAACATGCCCTTAGACTTCTTATCTCTCTTTCTAAACGTGGTTTAATTTGTAGACCCCTGCATCTTCATACAAATGCAAATGTATCTTTATCGGACTGACACAGCTGAATTTAAAACTCCTCAATGACTTTTCATCCAGCCATTCTAATCTGGCAGCGCACTATCAAGGCCTGAAAAAGAGCAATTATAGGGTGACAATACTTATCGTTTTTTCCTTAAGAGAAAAGAATCGGTGAAGAAAAGAATGTGGTATTAATTCGAGAAACTCTTGAGGACATTCAACGTGCCCGTCACATAAAATCTAATGAAACAGCTATGGTATAAAATGTCAAGAGGAGGTAATTACAAACCGGTGCTGTGAATTTATCTCGAGACACTCTGGTGGTCACCATCACACCCTCTAGTGTTAGCTAATGCCACTGCATGAGGCACTGTGAGAGACATTGATCCAACTGTCCGATTCGGTATATCTCATTTATTGAGAGTATGAATCAGCCGTGTACTCTACTTTGTTTGTGTATATGTTCGGCAGCGAAGAACACTTTAAAAATCCTTAATGGTGTTTTTGAGCCTTAGATCTTCCTGACCACTCCCACAACCCTCTCAGACTCCTAAATATTGAATGTTGCTTTTGGGAGAATGAACTACTCACATTGTATGATGGGAAACCATGGAAACAGAGTACTTACAACCGGACCAGGGGGGCCCTGAGGGCCTTCGGCTCCTTTCAAACCAGGTGGACCCTGCAGAGGGCAAAAGAGAAAGAAGAACAAAATATGAATGAGTAAATAGGCCTAACAAGAAGGTTCATATCAAAGTGTCAGCATTAGTAATTTTCTCTTGAGCATTATCCAACACGTCATCTATTGATGCTCAAAGCCAGATATAAACATGTACTGTAGGTTTTAGTGCACCGTGCCTGAGCAAACAAATCTACCTGTAGCTCATAACTGAGATAATACATCTACCACACAATATGACCGACACATAATGGAGATTTCACATTGAAAGCTTTTGAGAATCCACACTGAAAGTGCTTGTAGTTTTGCTTTTTCAAACTTCAGTTCTTGCATGTGTTGTGACCTGTCAAGGTGTACAAAAACCAATGGTGTTTGCCTTCATTATTGACATTAAAACTAGTTTTAGGCATCTCTTATGTTTGAATCTATGGAAGCGTGAAAGAGATTTGAGAACTATGGCTTAAATATCAGACTGTTTCTAAAACAAAGCTATCATATGGCTTTAGAAATATTGGAACATAGCACACAAGTCACATTGGGTTTTGTGCAAACATCAGAAAAATTCTCTTTAGATATTACACAAAACAAAGAAAGAGTTTGGAATGACATGAGGGCAAATTATTTTTGAGATGACAAAATTTCTAACTAGATGAATTATTACTTTGAGTCAAGGATCATAATGACTCTATTTCTGCTCTATTTCTTGCTCGTAAACTTAACTGCTTCAAATATTACCTGGAACACTGTGGGAAATAAAAAATCCTGAAAGGATAATGCTCTAATGAATTCCTATGAACTTCTATTCTGCAATTTCATGCAGCTCTCAGATTTTACCAATAGTATTTTAAGCTTTTTCTTAAAGGGAATAGCTAACCAAAAAATGAAAATACTCTTATGTTGCTGGAAACCTTAATTTTGAAAGAATCTTTACATAGATTTGCTGTCAAGTCCCAAAAAGAAAAAAAAAACAACAAAAAAAAACACCATAAAAGCACTATAAACACAATGCATATGTCCATATGTATTCTTTATTCCAAAGTATCCATCTTCTGAGGTCATACCAATGACGATATGGGCAAAAATTCATATCTCGTTATTTTTTGGCCAATTTGCGATATACGGTATATATCTCTGTCTTTTCATTTTTGCATTTGGATTTAAAAAAATCTGTATTTTATATATATATATATATATATATATATATATTTCACTTACCGCCCAATGTTGTCCAACAAAACAATACATATGAAAGGCTATGAAAATAAATAAAGTGAATGTAACCATGTAAGCTTTTATATTATGTGCAAAAAAAGGGTTAAAATCACATTTCATTCTAACATTGTAACATTGCAATCTAAAAACAAAATTCACTAAATGTAGTTAAATTCACTAAACTAAAAATGAAAATAAATGAGAACAAAAGCACAGTTGTGTTAGGCTGTTTTGATTACCCCATTACAGTCACTTTACAGTCAGTGCTATCATAAAAATAGACTTGTAGGTTTATAATTCTACATGTCAGATTTATCGTCCAACTACAAATATTTCCTCAAATCGAATCGCTTATAAAGAAAATATCGATATATCGTACAAACTCGATATACTGCCCAGCCCTAGTTCAAGAGTTGTCGCACAAGTAGATTATGACAAATTTCAGTCTGTTCCTCACTTGAAATATAGTGCACAAGTTGTATGGACCCCTTTTTATTGCGCTTGTATAGTTGTATGGCTAAAAAAACGAACATACTGGGTTGGTAATGACATGAGTGTAAGTAACTAATGACTAATAACTAATTTTTTTTTTTTTTTGGAAGGAGGTGAAATATTTCAGAAAATAAGCTAAATTATGTAATGAAGAAATTATGATTTTATAACTTATACCCAAGTCATGAAAGACTGTTGAGTCCTACTGCTTCTAAACTGATTTTTGTACTTGCACAAACTACAGCACAAACTGACAGCGGGTTTGGTCTCTTCTGATTGTGGCTGTTATTAATCTCCCGTATGAGAGAGAAATCCACAGATCTCGACTGCCTGCTGGTTCTGTCTTTACCTGATTGATATTTACTGGCCTCTTTTTCTCTCACAGGTCAACTGGGGCACAGTAAAAATCAAAGAGCTGACAAAAGCTCTCATGTGTGTGTGTGAGGAGATTTGTGAATCCATGTAAATGAACTTTTGGTTCCATAAAATACACTTAAATACTAATATGAAACTAATAGAAAATACCATGTAGTTGTGTATGTTTCATGAACGTCCTTGTAGGTGCATCTGTGTGTGTGTGTGTGTGTGTGTGTGTGTCAGGGCTCATGGAGGTGCTGTTGTGTTTTTTGAGTGAGGGCTTGAGATTGCCTCTCTAAAGGGCAGACACACACGGTGGTCTCAATAATGACAGTAAAATCGCCCCAGTAGAAAACAACCAGGCAGAGCATGGAGAGCCAGTCTCTGCCACTGACCTTGAGATCAGACATCAACAATGAACAAACAACCTCGTCTCCCAAAATCTAATTGCCAACATTTCCACTTAAATCATTCTCTGGCCAGATAATTCATGTAAAAGACAACAACCCAGCCACTACAAAAGGTGGTAAAGGGAAAAACGTGAACCACAGTCAAGTTAGCATAATGTATCTCTGCATTAAACAATGCAAAGTTAGCTTTTTTAGAGGTTATACACCCTATTAAAGTCTTTGTGCAATGTATTGAAGTCCAATTCTGTGGATGTAATAAGCCAGGGTTGCTGTCTAACTCTCTGTCTACCTCTAAGATTAGGAGGATTTATTGCAGTGATTTATTCGCGACGGGAGCATGATCTTACCGTCACTCCAGGAAGACCTCTCTCTCCTGGGAATCCTCTCAGTCCTGGAGGACCATCTTTTCCTGGACTGCCCAGAGGACCTGGATCTCCCTGCGGACAGACAGTTGCCAATTGAATATTTTATTGAACTTCAAATATAATGAACAGAAAAATTACACAAAATGAATTCTCGGCTGATGATAATGAGCTCTGAACTGATGAAATGATCCTGAATTATTGCTAGCTTCAAATCCACCGTCGCTAGCGCTGGCAGGTCGATTCAATTAATATTTAATCTGACTCCACAGCATGATTAAAACTGCAGTGTGTAAATTCTTTATAATGAAACATGTTTCCAAGTAGATTTTGAACAATCCATCAATTACACTGGTCTGACAAACAAGCTAAAATTTGCAGGACCAAGGGGAATCAAGCTGGAATAGGAACCTTTAAAATTTATGAAAAGAACATTTAAATACATTCAATATGTTAACATGTCCATCTTATGTTAATTATGCTAATTGCAACTGAAAGACCAAATTTTGTACAGTACCATTCAAAACTTTGGTGTCAGATAGTTTTTGTAATGTTCTTGGATCTTATGCTCACCAAGGCTGCATTTAATCAAAAATACAGTGAAAACAGGACGAATGACTGAACGATAGTGTACATTATTGGTAGCTAATTGTTGTTAATAAAGTTTTCGCACTGATATGTTGACATAGTTCATATTTCAGCACAATTAAATCAAGCCTGCCTAAAACAAGTATTAAGAATCCTAAAGTGTCTTGAGGGGCCAACAAGTGCCTTCGAACAGTAAACTGCAATCAGACAGGCCTGCCTGAGGGGCTCAAAAGTGATTTTTGAGATTTAAAATAGATAGAAAGCTTAACACTGTTTTAGCCTTTTGAAAAACCTCCACTTGACCTCAGTGTCTCTGAATTTTGATTGGACCACTGAAAGTGTTATATTCAGCTAATAAAAAGAGGAAACAAACGAGCGAAATCAGGAAAATGACTGCAGAAAGTCCGTGAGTCTGACCGCTCAGACTGCGGCAGCATACTCTGCCTCCGGGGTGTTCACTCACGTCTGACAGCCTGTCTGAAGTGGGCCGATCAAGCTGATTAAAGTGTCTCCGTTTAGAAGTGGCAGAAATTGCAACTGAGACAGGAAGGTTGGACACTCACTGAAATTCAGTTCAGCCTTTAAAAGCCACGTCTACTAACAATTTAGACTCTATTTAGAAAGGGAATTCAGCAATTTTCCACAGTATGGACGTTATTGCTCTGGAAAACTTGGACACACTTGGACAGAACGAGTTGTTGGTCAACAAACTGATGTACACTGGCTGTTTTTTTTTCTTATAATCAATCCTTTTTAGTTCTGTTTGACCTTGCCTGCTAGGCACTTTGTTTTTAGTTTTCCAATAAGAAAGGATTGAATTTTAGCTTAACTATTGCTAACAAGACAATCAATTAGTTTCTGTTTGTATTTGCCCTGTATATATTCTATCTGGCTGAAAGTCATGTAAACATGAACGTCATTCACCTTTGCACCTTCTTTTCCACCAGCACCTGGGAGACCCTGCTCTCCGGGGGGACCAGGGGGTCCAGGATGTCCTCTCTCACCAATAGGACCGGTTTCTCCTGTTGGCCCCTTTCAAGCCATTACAGACATTACAGACAGATTAACAGGCAAATCCTTCTGCTTATCTAAACTAATATACTGTATATATATATATATATATATATATATATATAACAATATACATGTAAAGGTTGCCATAAGGTGAGTGTAAATGTAAGTACATTCAGATGACCTTTGACCCAACGTATTCACGCACTTTTGCCCACTTTCTGCAAGTGAATGGTTTTCCAGATGCGTGATTGTCGCTGAATCACCATGAACGCAATCGTTCCAGCATCTTTTGTAGTCACGTATTGATTCGTGTCCGTGTTTTTGTACAAAGTCATCATACAAATCCTTTCATAGAAGGAATCAATCAGCCTTTTTCATATGTTTGTTATAATGCAGTGTGCACTTCACACAAAGCAGGTTGGAAGAATCCATCTCACCCTGGCTCCTTTCTCTCCGTTGGCTCCTGGGAATCCGGGGAAACCGTTCGAACCCTGCAAATCAAAGAAAAAGACTTAAGCGAGGAAGAGAAGGCAGCAGGACCTGCATATTAATGAGGGATAAACTCCAAGAGTCCCGACTCTCCTGCTAATTCTGACAGTTACGTTACAATCTGTTAGCATTAGCATCTTTGGCTTTGCTACTTCCACAGTAGAGTTTTAAATAGCTGTGAAACTGCTTTGTCCCTATTGTTGGCAAGCTTTTTTCTCAGAATAATTCAGCGGTTGAAAGATAGCCTTTGAATGCATATGATATATCCCAAGATAAACAAGGCCGATCTCAATTATCAGTTTCCTTGTTTTGTTTGCACAAGACTAAGCACAGGAGAGCTTCAGGAAGGGATCGCTTGTCAGTGCGGAAATACAACAGGGTCCACCGAGGACAGAGATCCAGACATTGGACAAAAACAAATGGCCACTCAGTCAGATAAACAACCAAACAGAGTTAATATTAAGAGTCACTACTGATGAGTCTTAATCGCTCTCATTCTCAACTTTTGTCTGTCTCTTTCTCTCATTTTCAATGCAGTAAATTAAAAACAGCTTACCCACGTTCCTCAATCCTGGCAGCGGTATAAGCATTCAAGAAAGAAAATCAATAGATTGTTTTACACATTCATTTTAAGGCCAGGCCTCAGAGTCGGGTCCTGCAGAAATCAGGTTTGATTTACCACAAAGCATATTATGAAACTGTAAAGGTGAGACAATGACGAATAAGCAATGATACTATATAAAAAAATGCCACAACTCTGACGCCAGTAACCACTCAGACAGTGATGGCTGGTCTTCAAAAGTGCACTTCATGATAATTTGAGAGTTGGCAGGCTGTGTGAATCCATTCCAGAGATGATGGCATGTCAAAGTGCTTGTAATCACATCACTTGTCTGTCGTTCGTTAATGCTGCTAAATAGAAGCGGATTTACGAGACTGTAAATTTACCACCGGAGTCAGCACCTCCGCTAGGACTGGGCTTTATTCCATCTAATTCAAGTAAATTCAAGATAGGCTTTAAAGGTGAAATATGTCATTTCTACTCCACTATCGGCACCAAAAGGAACTGCAAAAATAGTGAATGAGACAAATAAAATCTCACACAATTGGTGGAGCCTGTGTCGAGTCAACTGGCACATGCAAACAAACAGAATCAGGTTTTGACAGCCTAACACCTCCAATATGTGTACTTAAATAATATAGTATGTTAAAAGGGGTGGTCTGCAGAAAAGTTTAGAGAAAAATACAGGAAAAAAGTGTAACATTCAATTAAATTTAAATAAAAAAATAAATAAATTCATAAATACTAAATAAATCATAATATTTACAGAATTTGACACTGTCTTTATAATATATTTTTAATGACAATACCAAGGAATGTATTTATTCCCAAAATAGCCTTCATCAGTGGTTGAAAATTTCATTAAGTTTATCATATTCTGAAAGTACATATTCTAAAATAAAATAAAATAAAATAATTCATGTTAATAAATAATTAATAAATGCTAATATTTACAGAATTTGCAATTGTTGTCTTTATATCTAATTTAGATGACGGAGCTTTCATTGATGGTTGGAAATTAAGTTTCAAATTTAACTTCTTTAAATTAATCACATTCTGAAAGTACACAATTTTGGATGCAGCAAAAATCTTCCAATGGCATAAGAATATATTTTAATTAAAAAAATTTAATATTCTAAGAAAACAAGTTTTATTATCTTATGCAGTTTTAATTCTCATGTATATTTATCTTATTTTAGAATGTTTTAGGACACAAAAAATACTGATTATAAATCATAAATGACTGTGAAGCGCACTCCATATTAATTTACCAAGCAACATACCAAACTGTGTACTGAAAACTCAGAGTCTTCCCAGTTGTACCAACTAGGTGCCTGTAATGACGCCAGTGTTTGTCATAGAAGGTCTCCAGACCTCCAAGGCCACTTAAGGTCTAGTTTGGGGCTGGCTTGAGCCAGATTGGGTACTGCTGTTACAGCTGATGCTGTTGTTGATTAAAGGCGCTGAGGTCGGACACAGGCATCTGTGCTCCGACTTCTCCTCACTGCCTGCGTGACCAGCATCCCCAACAACACAGGGAACAATCCTGGCATGAGCTGCTCATTTAAAAAAAGTCTCACTCAGTGCAGCATGCATAATGCATTCTCAGGAGGGCATTAATTCATGCTAATGAGCCAAGTTGTTGTTTAGCTCATAAGTGAAACAATTGTGATGCAGGTACAGGTGTCATGTTCAAGTTAAGTGCATACCTTTGGCCCTTGACGTCCTGGATACCCGGGCAATCCCGGAACACCAAGTTTGCCCTGATGGAAAACAAGCCAAGGATCATTAGTGCAAGAACATCTCTGGACAAACAAACATCTCATTTGATAATATTAATATTCCAAACACAAACCCCACATCACTTCCTGATGCCCTATGCATTGGTAATCAACTAATAATGGTAATCCGTAATTAACAAGCAGCGTACCTTTTCTCCAGCAGGTCCCAGGGGTCCAGATTCACCGTTGGGACCCGCACGACCCTTCGGGCCCTCTGGTCCGTCCTCACCTCTGGGTCCAGCCAATCCAATTTCACCCTGAACATACACAGAAATCCAGCCAATCAGTGCGGCCCTTCATAGGATAAAATTAGGATGGACACTGTTTATTTACCCTGTCGCCTTTGAGACCCATGTCTCCCTTGAAACCCGGGAAACCATCCTCACCCTGAAAAGTAGGATGAAACATTAGGGAAAACATATCGAGTGATGAAGTTATAACTTCTGCATATAAATACAGCACTATTAATTCTTTAGCATTGTACTAGATCTCCACCTGCTGACAAAAATGCAGTACTGCAACACGGTCAATGATTTAATTCAGTCTAGAAGTTACAATGTTGTGCATATGGAATAAATTGAACTAAACCTGTGCTAAAAGCTAGATGTGTGCTAATGGCTAAAAATAAGCTAGCTGCTAAATGTATGCTAATTGTTATGATACACAGTGTTGATCTATGATTGAATTCTCATTCTCTGTCACCAAGCATCAGTCTGAATCTTTCACACATGTATGATGCATTATGCAACTTGTGACCACCTGACAGCGCTTGACTAAATGTGTGCTAACAGCTAAAAGTGAGCAAACATCTAAAGGTATGCTAACTGTTATGATTCATAGTGTTGATTTATGATTGAATTCTCATTCTCTGTCACTAAACACCAGTCTGAATCTCTCGCCTACATGTGCATGATGCATTCTGCAACTTTGTAACCACCTGACGGCATTGTCGACTCAACTAATGCCTTATTTATTTGGATATGGACACGGCTAGACACTCAGTCTTGTTATGATGGCACTACAGCATCAATCCCACCCTCAGTTGAGTGGCATTCTCAAACATTATTTTCTACATTGTTAATTACAGCCGACTGCAATCTGAATGTACTTAATGGTGATGGAGTGATTTTGTGTCTTGAATAAGTGTTATGACACTTTCTCTGCATGATTAAACAGCACTTATGATATGATGTTTAAGTGGAGAGAATGTGTAGTGGCTATTGGACTCTTTTTATGCAGATTTAGTGACCAGTGTAAGTGTCATTGCAATGATTCTTAGTACAAGCATTAACTTCTAGTGGATAGTGTGGATAAATTCTCCTTTGCCTCATTAAAAAAATATGTGTTTTTTTGCGTACCTTCTCTCCTTTGCCTCCCTTCAGTCCACGGACGCCATCAGCACCCTGTAAGACGGAGAGCATGTGATCAAGCAAAGATCGCAAACTCAATGCATACCAATAAATCTTTATCAAACACAAAAAATGCCTTACCTTCACACCGCGAGGGCCAGGATAGCCGATGGGGCCCTGGGGACCGGTCTGGCCCTGAAAATGACACATTGAAAAATTACGAAATGTGTACGGCAAACAACAAATATCTGTGGCTGAGGTAACCTTGCAAGAGGTTTATAGCTAATCACACCGATCAGATACTTTCAAACAATGTTTTCTAAATATGAAATTGAATTAAACAGTCAAAAGAAGAAAACCATAGTCACGGACAAATATTACTTTGGTCAGACAGCTAAAAGATCAAGACCAAATGCTCTGCAAGACACATTTGCATCAGGGAGCAATTAGCATTAGCAATTTTAACCACTTTTTAGCTGCCTGGCATTAGCATAATCACAAAATTAAATAAATTTTTATTAATAATCCATAATACAATAATATTACATATATAAATCTGATCGACCAGTACACATTCTGTTTAAATGCTCTCTAAAATTGTGTTTCCTTACCAAAGCTCCTTTCTCTCCAGGTGGACCCTCTTTACCAGGATGACCCTGTAGAATAAATACAGATAATTAGTATAAAGTGACAGCTGAAAGACGTATGTCTCTTTAATGTGTGACATTAGCTATAGTTCTCAAAGTTTGTTATAAATAGTTTGTGTTTTGAGTCGCTTGAGCTGCAGATTCAACATGCATCTTTGCTATGATGCTTCTATAGTATCAATTATGTCAGCAAGCAAAATGTGTGAGAAGATAGACAATCAGTTATGGTCTTTGTCCAATTTATAGACAACAGGCTGTGGAATATGTTTCAATCATCAGTAGTTTAGCAGACATGAATCACTTGATATATCAGTATCACTGATACTTACAGGAGGTCCATCTGCGCCAGGCAATCCAGGCAAACCAGACCTTCCCTGAGGACCCTGTATGAAGATACAGAGAAAAAGAACTTCGATTGGATTAAGAAGAATTTCTAAGACCACAGATGCCCTACAGGAAATAACATGCACTGAATCATGAAAAATAAAATACGCTCGAAAATGAATGCTACAGAAATAAATGCACGCTCCAGTGATGTTTTGAGACTGTCGCATCTATCCTGCACCAAAGCTCATTTTGCATTTATTTATGTATCCAAAGCAAAAGAGCAAGAAATATAAATATAAGTGATTGATAACACCGCTTGCAGAATGTTTGAGGAATGAAATCAAATACTTGCTTCTTCCTAAATTCAGGGTGCTGATTGCAAAATTAGTGCATGTTTTGCTCTGGCATGTTACACGTTCTCAAAAAAATATAAATGTCTCAAATACATTTCATAGCATTTTTGCTTTTGACTACCATTTATAAGGTGAAGAAGTCTTGTATTATCCTTTTATTACCAGAAAAACTGCCACAAATACACGATTCCTAGCTTCCTCAGAGCCAAGTTACTATTATTTGTTCAATTATCAGCTGATTTTCACATATATAAATGATTCTGAAGACATTATGATTTTTACACTCCTTCACAGATCATAAATTAAATGATGTATTATGAATACTTTTTTATAATTAAAACTGAATCTTTATTACCTTTTTTCTTTTTATGAGTGCATTGAATACATTTGAAAAATTCTTCTTTTTTTAGCTTAGCATCATTTTTGGCCTTTTTTGCTAGAGTTTTCTCAGCAGATTTTTTTTTCAAGGTGCAGGGTTGTGTAATGGTAAATAAACCAACAATTTTATATCACCATGATATGTTACATATCTTTCTTTTTGGTCTCAATCTGTTTAAAGGAAACTCCTGAGAATTATATGCATGAAAACCACGAAAGACTTACTTTTTCTCCAGGCGGTCCGATGGGGCCCTGTGGACCTGGAAGACCCTGCACAACAGAAAACAGACAGCAAATGTCAAGCTTTGTTGCCATGGCAGCAGGGCGGGGGGAGATAGAGGGGTAGGTGTGTGGTAGAGAGGAGCCCAAACTGATGACTAACACCCAATAATGGACTTATTGTATTGTCCCTGTGTGTGTGTGTTGGCAGGGTCACTCGTGTTTGCACAGTGTGCTTGAGTGTGTGTGCATACACACGTGTGTTTACTATGTGTGTGTTTACAGTGGCTGATTCAGTGTTTTTGTGTATGTGCTGACCAGGAGTTCACTCCAGGGAAATCTGAGCTCACTGCTCTGATTCGACCGTTGCAGGTGGGGCGTTATGAATGAGATGCTTTCAGCTGCCCACTTCCTATGAGCCCAGCAGAGGCTTACACAAATATTTCAGATAATTTCACAGATAATTTTAGTTGTTTTTGTAATTTTTATTAGTTTTTGTTCTTGTGTACACACACACACACACACACACACGCGTGTGTGTGTGTGTGCGTGAATGTATTTGAATTATTTAATTTATTATATATTGCAGATATTTGAGTATTTAATAATAAATAAAATACATAATCAATATAAATAATTTATTATTTAGCAATATATATTAATTATCGGCGCCCCTTTTTAACATTTTTTTTTTTACTTAGTTTCTTTTTTTACTTTTCCGGTTTATATTTTAACACAATATACAGAGTTACCCTACTTTCTTTCAAAATTCTTATGCGGATTGCACCTAAGATAAAAAAGGGGGGTCAATAAATAAATACATAAATAAAAATCCCCTTGACTGTTTCATGATCTGATTTGATTAATTTCTTTGACATTTCCAAGACCATGGGAACCCTTAATATAAAAAGAAAATGTAGCTGTCATGGGATTGCGTGATCCAAAGTCAATCAAAATGTATCTTGCACATGAGAAACAATCCTCAAGACTTATTATAGTAAAACCTCTGGGGTTCAGTGTCTAAAGTGTGTCTGTGTTTATTCTCACCTGTGTTCCTGGGATTCCCTGTTGACCAGGAGGGCCCGGCTCTCCCTGGGGTCCCTGTTCAACAGAAAAAGATGGTACATGTCAACTGCACCCTAAATATGTCAAATCACCAGCAATGTTCTATATATCTCTGTGTGGGCTGACATATGTGCTTTAATTCCTGATGTGAATATGATGCTAATACAGTGAACACAATGGTAACAAAATGTCTTATGGACAAAATTAATGTTAAAGTTAACAGAAAAAAAGGCTGTTATACCTTGTCAGCTTCAGAATGCCAGTGCTACATTATGATTAAACTGTCACTTTCACAGGAAGTTCGCCTCAGTGTTTAAAATGTGTTTAGTTACTTTACAAGATTAGCTTTATCTGAAACACTCTTTTTCATGGCATATCAGTTTAGTTCTGAAAAAAAAAAAAAAAGCTCCTGAATATATCTGAGGGGTCATGACTTAGCGTTTATACATAGATGAATTAACTGTTGTTTTTATTAGTTATAATGTGGTTCCGAAAACAGAAGATGTTTCAGATTTGATACGCCAAATTCAGAGCTATTTTGTTACACAAGGTTTATTCGTTCACTGTGGCAGTAAGAAATGAAATTTCAACTTGACAGTAGTCCTAGTATAGATACATAAAGGCTGAAACATGTGTAAAACCCACTCAACAAGTAACCTATCATCAGCATCAGCTACACTGATTTTATCTACAAAACGCCAGGTTTACGAGATCCATGTCTCTTACCATGTTTCCTTTGGGACCCTGTGGACCATCAACACCAGCAATGCCCTGCAGAAATCAATTGTAAAAGATTAGAAGTGGGCAAACAGCATCAGATCCACAAGATTCTAAATTAAAAATCACTTACAGGTTGTCCAGGAACTCCAGGAGGGCCTCTAGGGCCGAGCAGACCTCGTGGCCCCTGAGATAAAAAGAAATGAGAAGGTTCTGATTAAAAAAACAAGTATTCTCTTCTGAATTTTAATAGGAATCATGATAAGCTGTTGAGTGGCTCTGCCCTCTGGTGGCAAACTGGAAATAAAACATAAAAAATTAAAAATAAATACAAGGTGAGACACACTTACACTTTCACCAGCAAGTCCTCTTGGTCCAATCTCTCCATCTTCTCCCTGTAAAGGTGGAAGAAGTGAAGAGAATATGCTTATTCTAATAGCTGAAACAATGAAATGATGAGAAGGACGTTTTTCTTCTTCAGTTAATTCAGAAAAGCACTTACCCTTGGTCCGTCCTCTCCGTGAGGTCCAGGGGGACCAAGAGGACCGTTCTCACCCTGCCACAAAGAGACAGCCATACTTTATTACATCCAACTTAATATATAATCTTTTCACCTTTGCTTGAAAATGATCTAGGGAGCCATTTTGGATCCTATAATTATTACCTGTGTTGACAGGGGAAAAGGCTGGAAATACCCTACTGTAGATTTTTACAGAGTAGAAGGCTCTTCATTTCACGTTGGAAGTGCTCATGATTCTTCTCAGTATCATTATTTATTATATATCCATAGTACAAGGAAGAACAACATTGTCAGCTAATGTTGTATGTTTGATGTCCTTGTTTCCAATGTACAAGAAGGATACTATTATTTTGTTATTATTGTTGTTGAAAATAAAAATGTAAAAAAAAAAAAAAAAAAAATGTTGGTGCTTATTATACTGACTATATACCTAATATTGTTACATTTAATTAAAAAAAATGTATTAACAGTCATTGTAAAGAAATCTAACATTTAGCAAAATATAAAAATGCTAATCAATAGCCTTGCGATAATAATAAAAATCAGCAATATGCTTCAGTTAAAAGAAGCAGTATTATATGTCAAGTTATTCATGTTAATAATTAATGTTCTTAATGAAAGTTGCTAAAAAATACGATTTCAAATGCTAACTAGAGAGCATAAAATTTACTTGTTTGCGGCAATCAATTTATGTTATTTATTTTTTTGTTTTAAATTATATTTAGTTATTTAATATGTAACAATATATATATTAATTGTCCAAATTGTCCAGTATTTTTATTAACTTTATTTTAACACAACATACAGAGTTACCACATGTCCCTCCAAAATAGGAGTTGCACCTAAGAGATAATTTAGTAATTAGCATATTGTTATGAATCACTGCTGTGAAAAATAGTTGTGAATCTCTTCCACTTTTCAAAGCCCCCTCTATACAGCCTGATTATTTTACCGCATTTGTCAGTTGAACTGTTTTGTATGCATTCATACTCACCCTGTGTCCCTTCTCACCGGGCAGACCTGGAAGCCCATCAAAACCTCTGTCACCCTTTGAAGAAGATGAGGTAAAAAAAATAAAACAATATATTCATAGGTACTATATGTGGGTATATGCATATGGCATATACTGTATGTGGGTGAGAATATCTCTTGTACCTTAGATCCAGATTCTCCAGGCATTCCACGGGCCCCATCGGTTCCAGCACGACCCTGTCACAGAAATATCAGAGAAGATATGACTACTGGAAACCATTATGTGTTCATACGCTAACCGAAGACTCATTCAAGTGAACGCAAAAATGAATAATCTTTTGTGTGTGTGAAAAATAAAGAGAAATATCTTACTCTCTTGCCAAGTTTTCCCATTTGCCCTGGTGGGCCTTGGATACCCCTCGGACCCTATGATGGAAGTATATATGATTATTTAAGTAAGTACGTAGATAATTAGGTAGGATGACCTTGGGTGGTGAGAGATGCTGTCTTACCTGAGGACCATGGTCTCCACTCTCTCCTTTCAGTCCAGGAGAACCTGGAAGACCCTAAATGTGGTTGACACCAAAGAGAGATGTATTAGACCAAGACTAGACCAAACCAACATGTTTTTAACACAGTTATAGAAAGATCGAAATGCCTGCATTATATACAAAGAAACAGCAGGTGGCAATATTTCCCAGCATATACAATTCCTGTTCTTCACTCTCCAGGAGAATCAAAGCCCTGAATAAAAATACTAAAGTTAATGTAGTTGACACAATGAGCTGGATTTGTTTTAAGAGCTAGTTATTGCATTTTTGCTAGGGAATTGTGCTGTTTTTTTAGCACTGCACCAGATGAAGCTGAATACTTAGAAAAGCAACTGTTGATTTTGAAATTGCTGTAATTCCAGACAGACTGTCCTAGTTTTTTTCTAACTTATTTCAAAGATAATTTGAGAGTTGAGTTTTGCATTTATTTCTAAAAGTACACCCTACTATAAGGAACCATTTGGAAACTTGAAGATTCTCATTTGTCTGCTTTTTAAATGACACATCTAAGGATTCCCAAATCCCAACTAGCCATTAAACAGTAGCTGTGTTCTTTTCTTAAACAAAGATTATAATTTAAAAGTCTCTCTTAAATTCCCACCCCTTATTTCATGCTCAATCAATCATGTAGGATAAGTATGACTTGACATGGCTGTGGTTGCCACTTTTCAAATGCTTATTTTAGGTATTTTTATCATTAGTTTTGTCACATCTGAGTAGGATCATTACTTGCCCAAAGAGGTTTTAGGCATGAGTTCACCGGCCCATTGTGTTTCAACAGGTATGGTTAGAGCAGACAGTTAAGTTAATTTGTCTAGTTGCATGGTCCGGTGTTATTTTTGAATTTTTTTAGGTTAATGTTTATTTTATTTTACTTTAGGCAACAAAAATGTTTTTTAGTTTTAGGTTTTAGTTTTAGTTTCAGTTAACTATACGTAATAACCCTGACCTGGCCTCTCTACTCATTGACAAATAAGTAAAAGAAAAGATATTGTGCAAACATTTTGGAGCCCAATAAGTGTCCTCCCACAGAGGACTGTTGGTGGGATCATCTGGGTTAATAATTTTTTTTTTTTACAAATATTATGAATGGGAGAGTGATGGTATTTTGCATATAATTAATAGTGATGAACTTTGAATCGCTGCATTAAATCGCATTGCTCTGATTTTCAGTCAGTAAAATGGTGATTGGCAAGCTGATTGGGTGCCTCTTTTGCAGAGGTCATGGGGGTCACTGAAACTCACCACTGGGCCAGATCTTCCAGTGAGACCCATTGGACCTGATGGACCTCTCATGGCGAGCTGCGAAAACAAACCAAAGAATCAAAATCAGCAAAATATCATCAAACATATACAATAATTGGCGGATATCTACGCTCTTCAGCCAGAGGAGGTGGGGCGGTGTCCGCATTTGTCAAGGACAGATCTGAGCACTAATCTGTAGCACCTGTCGGGTCGCCCTCCTGCGGGTCGTGAACCTTGCTAGTATTTTTTTATATCATCTCTCCGCATGAGTCAAAGCAGCCTGTGCTGCTCCGTTTCACTCTTGTTTTAGCGCAAACAAGACCGGAGCAAATCCCCTCCCCACCCTCTGACCCTCAGTCAAGTGTCCCCCACTTCCCCCTCAGCAAACAGCTGGGAGAAGCTCGAGGGCCATTTGGCCCTTTACTTCTCATACTCACCCTGGCCTGAGAAAGAATGGCCTGAGCCTGGGCTTCTTGAGCCGACACCACTGGACCCTTTTCCCCATCACCGCCAAAACGGAACTGTCAAACATGAACAGAGTATTCATTATTATCATTTACATTTAGAAAAACTTCATACTATCATACACTACACTATAAATATTGAGTCAAACAAACACGAAAAGCAATATTCTGACTATTTAATAAGGATTTAGATATTATTTTCAATATATGCTATAAAGAAGTGAAGTATGCAGTCATTATTTTTCATGTTTCTATTCTCATTATGTATAACACTTTATAATGTACTATACTATGCTATACTATACTGTAAATACTAAGTATTATGAATATTTCATTAGGATTTAGACAGTTTTCAAAACTACCACACAATATGCTGTAAAGAAGGGAAATGTGCAGTCATTATTTTCATTTTTGTATCACATTAAATACTACATACTATACTATACTGTAAATACTAAGTTAATCAACTACGAAAAGCAAATACTTTTGCAATTTACTAAACAACAATATGCCCTAATGAAGTGAAGTATGCAGTCATTTTTTCATATACTGTATGTAGCCTTATTATAACATTTCATACTATATCTACAGTATACTGTACAAACAAAAAGTTAAATACTATGAATATTTACATACTTATGAAAAATACTAAACAACAATATGCTGTAAAGAAGAGAAGTATGCAGCCATTATTTTTATGTATGTATGCTTATTAGGTATAACACCATAATACCTCATAAGCATATAATACTTTAATATACAATATTTTTAATCAACTACAAAAGGCAACATTTGAAATATTTAATTGGGATTTAGATAGTTTTCAATACGTTTGCAAGCTACTAAAGAATAATATGCCTTAAAGAAGTGAAGTTTGCAGTCATTATTTTAATTTATGTATCAGTAAGTATAACACTTCACATTACAACATATACTGTTAAAACTGAGTCAGTCAAATATGAAACACAGCATTATGAATATTTAATTAGGATTTAGATGTTTTTCTGAACTTTTAAAAACTACTTCACAACAATAAAAACCTAAGGAAGTGAAGAATGCAGTCATTATTTTTTGTTTTATATATCATCTATTTCCGTGATTTTCAATTTATATACGAAAAAGCACCAAAATGATATTTAATCAGTATTTAGATGGTTTTTAGCACGTTTCAAGTTATTACACAGTCATATACTCTAAACAGGTTTGTTATAATTGTTTTCATGTATGTATATTTGCAGCAATACATGCATACTGTTGTGCAGTTTAGGCTGGAGAGATTTGCAAAGATATTTGGTGGGTTTAGGGGTCTTACTGGCAGCATCAGCATAGTACCAGGGGGGCCTGGCAAGCCATCCGCTCCGGGAAGACCAGCACGGCCGGGAGGACCCTGGGGAAGCAGGAAGAGCGGGAGAGAAAGAGAGAAGGGATAAATCAGTAATTTGACACTTCTTGACTTGACAACACACAGGTAAGAGAATGCCAAGACAGGAATGAGAGAGGGAGGGGGATCGAACAGAGATAGAGAGACCCTCTCACTTCCATTACCCTTTAGTGAAGTTTTAATTTCAGGTTCTCTGTTGTCTCCACCAAGTCCAATCACAACAAACTATCCCACTGTTTCACTTTTGCTACAAGTTTAGCTTGGGCAGATGTTAAATAACACTAATAAACAACCTGAAGTGTACAGGTCTTAGTTTGACAAAATCATTAACAGGAAGTACTCAAGATCCCACATTATATTGATATGCATTTCATTGCCTTTTGTGGTTTAGCAGTCTTGTATTTTAATGGTCTTTTCTTTATTTTCACTGATAAAATGAACTGTATTCTGATTCAAACGAGTTATTTAGTTTCTTCATTTACGTTCTTGTGTGTGTGTTGTTTCTGTTAGAGAGTGTATTTACGTAGATGTAAATTACCCACAATACAAACCTAACATCAGAACTCTAGAAAGACTTTGGAGTTGGTTTGGGAATTTCTAATGATAATTATCCTCAAACAGTTTAAATGTTTTTTTGTGAGCAATGTGTGTATTTTGCATACAGAAATAGATTGAGGGTAACGTGCTGCATTTAATTAGAAATTTTGTCCGATTTGCCTACTGAACAATGACTGCTCATTCTGAAGTAACTTGAATTACTGCGAACATGCTTTTTGACTGGGAACTTTCTTTAATCTGTGTTTCTAAATAAAGCAACTCAGGGTTTCACACCTGAAAACTAAATGTGTCAGAGAGGGTGTAAATGTGCCCTCAGTGTCAGAAATCTGCTATGACCCTGTTCAGAATAAATTAGCATTATGTTTTGTTTACTGACACATTTTCATACAGTCTTGCAGTTTACTACAGCCAGACTGTTTTTCGGAGCCGTTCTTGCTTAGTCTCCAAGACACACGTTTTTCTCAAGCCTGATAGGAGACAATCTGTGTCTCATTATGTTTATCACAGATTTCATTTGACATGCCTCATTTCCCACTTAATAACTGTTGATTTTTTTTCAGCGACAAATGAAATTTCTGTAAAACAAAATATGACAAAAGAAAGATTAAGACCTAAACCTTAACCAAACCTTGTTAATGTTCTGAAAATACCTGTGGTTGGCATAAGTAAACATAGCTTGGAGTCAGAGACTAGAACTAATTCTTACCCTGTCACCAGAATCTCCGGCTGAACCAGGGGGGCCTTGTAAACCTGGAGGGCCTGGAAGACCCTAAAGACAAAAATAAAATAGAGTAAACAGACAGACCAGAGCACAATGATGACCCAATTACTGATGCGGGCAAAAATGCAGGTAACTTACAGCAGGTCCAGGTAGTCCAGCAGGTCCTTCAATCAGCATTCCCTATGAATCACAACAAAACCAGAATAAAACAAACTGACCAGAACAAATTACAGCATCAAATGAATGAATGAATATTTATAAACTAATCTCAATGTTGTTCCAAAGGTGATGAATGCCCAGAATTCGCTGTCAATCACTCACCGGCTCAATCACTGCAGGTTCTCCTTTTTCTCCCTTCTGACCCAGAACAGCACCGCCACCCAACTGCAAACATACAGCAGAGGTTAGACAGAACAAATGATAGAACTATAGATAAAGTAGATAGAATAACAGATAGAACAACAGAGATACAGAGAGAGATATAGACATACAAATAGATAGATAGATAGATAGATAGACATATAGACAGATAGATAGATAGATAGATAGATAGATAGGGTTAATGTTGGTGCAGAGTGCTAAGTGTATGCAGTGTAAAAATACATATGAATATGAAAAGTGCTAAAAAAGATGCTAAATTCGGTAACACTTCACTTTAATGACCAATTCTCACTATTAACTAGTTGCTTATTAGCATGCATATTACTAGCATATTGGCTGTTTATTAGTACTTATAAAGCATTATTCTAGATACCTTTATACCATATTTTAGATCCCTCAATCCAACCCCACACTGCAAAAAATGCTTTTCTGTCTTAGATTTTTTGTCGTTTCCAGCCAAAATATCAAAAAATTCTTAAATCAACAAGGATTTTCTAGACAAGTAAAAGTTATTGCCTTGTTTTCAGAAAAAAAAAACCAAGTCAAAATTAAGTGAGTTTTTGCTTGAAACAACCAAAATAATCTGCCAATGGGGTAAGCAAAATAATCTTATTTCAAACAGAAAATTAACAATTTAACAACTACCTTAATAACTATCAAGAAGCTGCAAATTAGGTGTTTATTGAGGCAAAAGTCGTAGTTAATAGTTAGTTAATAGTGAAAATTGGTCCCCAAACTAAAGTGTGACCCTCTGAGATTAACAAGATGGAAACTGTGTAACCTGCAATGTAATGGACAGGATCTGATGCCGTCAAACCTTTGCTCATGTGACCTGTAAAATACAGGTGCTGGAGTGTTTGACAGAGGGGAAGTATGAGCTTCTTAAGGAGGAGGAGGTGGAGAAAGGTGTGTCTGAACAGACAGCTGGGTCTGTGGTATGGGGTAATTACCATATCCCGGGGCAATATGGGAGATAAGGCGCTGACAGTCAGAGAGTTCAAACCACAGTTGGTATGAGAGTGTGCATGTAAGTGATCTGTGAATGACTATATGATCGATGTGATCTATAACGTACACAGAGACGGGAGGGAAAGAAAACCAATACACAGAAGAGGAAGAAGTGCAGTGGTCTGTATGTTTCAAAACATGCTAATCACATCCAGTAAAGAAAGATAAGCATAAACCAACGCACCGAACAAAAAAAATGGATGGACCCCATGTGAAATAGTGCACTACAAAGCCAACAATGCATGCTAGATTCCCATATCCAACAATCCGAGTACTGGACGACACCCTCGTTCGGGGGGGTCAATACTTACGTCCGACGTCACTTCTGTTTCAGCGATATCTTTTTCTGCGGCAACCCCTGGCCCAAAACTGTCCTCGTAAGCGGATGTAGGGTTTGGAGCCACATTGCCAAACTCATCGTACGCCCCATACTCATATTGATTTTTGTCAAGCCCAGTCACATCATATCCCTTAAGATCATACTCCTTAAAGTCATACGCGTCCACTCCAATGAAGTCGGCAGTGCCGCTGGGCAGCACGGCCTCTGGGGCTGCGGTCGGATCCAGACCAGCCTGGGCTGTCTCAGTGACATAGTCACTGAAAACGTCCTCTTCCACAGCCTTATTATACCCAAGCAATGCGGCCGGGCAGAGGGGGAGGGAGTTTGAGTAACGGAGGGAAGATGGATGTTAGTTTAAGCAGTTAAAGCAAATACTACTGTATCTAATGCAAAGCAGGAGCAAAATGAATTACATGAGATATATTTAATAAGAATAGCACATCAATTTGGGCAGCAACAAGGTAACACTTCTTTGTCCCATTCAATGCAAATATATCAGATGATTTGGATTGGATACAAGGATTTGGAGTAATTGGTGAGATGAGAATATAAGTCACAAATTAAATCTGGTTAAGTAAATCACAACATTATACAAGTTACATTAATGGATAGATATAATCAGCAATGTGCATTTATAAAGAGACATAATGTATGTTTATAACAGTTAAGAATGATAAAAACAGTTCTGATTTCATAGAAATGCTGTTATATGCAAATGAGATGCTAAAAAGTATATTTCAACACTTAAACGTTTCTTAATAATTTTTTTTAATCTTTTATGAATGTGTGTTCAAATTTTGGGGGACAGATAAAGTGTTAACTTAATTATATAAAAAGCATTATATTTACATATTTAATAATTACACATATAAGTCTAGGATAGACTTTAAGATATTCCTGTCTTTTTTCCACAATAAACATGTTATGTTTAGAGGTGAAAAAAGAAGACAGAAATAAATTATGGAAGTCTGAAATGACATTATAACGTTTATGAATACACAAACTAATGCATTTATGATGTGATCAAATGCAGGAACAGATCAAATTCAACCTGAACACTTCAGCATTTGATTACAACAGCCAAGATTTACAGTACGTTTTAGTACATAACCATAAAAATAGAAAGGAACACCAGTTTTTATTTCAGTCCTGAAAATTTAGAAAGCACAAGGGACATATAGACATTTCTTACTGCACTTAATTTGAGAAAAAACACACCTACACTTATTATATGTCTGTAATATCCAAGATAAACATGAAGCCGCCTTGTAAATACATCCAAATGGCTGTGAAAGAGTTCAGTTCTGTTGAATATAGTTCTGCTAACTAGTGCCAGAACTATTCAACCAGACTACAGCAAACGCTATGTTTCTTTATCAGAGGTCCTCATCTTTGGGTCACTTACTGAGGGAACTGTTTGGAATGGGACATGTTATCTTCTCAATGATAGTTAGGCATAGAAAATGGGCAACCAGTCAACATCTAAGCAACCAATTCCAAAACTCCTGCCAAAAAGACAAACATATATAGTTTTGACTCAGCTGTGTGATCAATTCACTGCTTTAAATGTAGATAGGATGGATGCACATTCATAAATTGCTCATTTTTCTTGAATGCAGCCTTAAATATCATTGATATCCACAACAGAAAGCTGAAAACCAACTACATGACAATCCACTAAGAAATATCTACTTGATATTCAAGACATGTCCAAAGTTTCAGACCGGAACGCATCACAGGAAGTGGATTGGCTAAATTTAGAACTTGGCAGTTTTATGGTGAATATCAGCTTTATGTTGTTGGATAAAACAGTTCCCTTGCAATGACAGTCCCAGAGTCAAAAAACAGAACAATTGCCATGAATTGTTTTGTTTTTGTCATTTCATATCAAATACTTCCTCGTCATACGTGCTCCTGGATTTTTCCCATTTCTGTCCCACATTTTAGTTGCCCTACCATCATGGTATATAATCAAATGATTACCTGGTTTGGTCCAGTGGTTGCGACAGGAGACTGAGTTTTGGAAGCATCTACTGTTCTGTAGTCAGGTTCACTGTCTGTATAGTACTCCCCATCTATATTGTTAGGCTACAGCAGATTCATAGTGAGAAGAAAAGAGGAAGAAGATCAGAAAGGAGGAATTAACACAGTTCAAGCAGTTCCACAAGCGTTTCAGGCCGGATCCACGAGGACGGCACCTAGAGAAAGGGGGCGGACGGCACGCTCAGACTATCATCAAAGATCACCCTCACCGAAAGAGAGATCTTGATGGATTCTGACATGAGCTACGCTTGTACTATTACCCCTAGAATGGCTTTTCTTGGTGGCGGTGGCAGGTATCCATATCTTTTCTTCTTAGGGGCTAACTTTTTAGCCTGTTTTGGCTCCTGGTACTTATAGGGTTTGGAAAAAGATTTAGGGGACTTTCTCGTCCTCTTCGTTTTCATGGAGACACTACGTTTCACTCTCTGGAAAAAGGTTATGGTGAAGGGAAAAAGACACAACACATCAAAATATCTGTGTTAGAATATAAATAAGTTCCCATTTTTATAAACATGGCTTTCTTAGTTAAATTCAGGATAACTTGGTATACACCATCTTTCAAAAGCTTTCAGGCTTGCTTCCAAGAACGGTTATCTCAAAACTAATCAAAGCGACCCATGTTCGAAAAAACGGCCACCATTTGACTCCTAAGTTCACAGAATATCTCTTTATTATTATTAAACCCAGTACAGACACACTAGAGATTGAGTTTACCAACATGGACAGACAAATATACACTACATGGGCAAAAGTATGTGAACTACTTCAGTAATTTATGGGTCTGGCTATTTAAGCTAACTAACAGGTGCTTAAAATCTAGCATACAACCATATAATCTCTTGGTGGCGGTGGCAGGTATCCATATCTTTTCTTCTTAGGGGCTAACTTTTTAGCCTGTTTTGGCTCCTGGTACTTATAGGGTTTGGAAAAAGATTTAGGGGACTTTCTCGTCCTCTTCGTTTTCATGGAGACACTACGTTTCACTCTCTGGAAAAAGGTTATGGTGAAGGGAAAAAGACACAACACATCAAAATATCTGTGTTAGAATATAAATAAGTTCCCATTTTTATAAACATGGCTTTCTTAGTTAAATTCAGGATAACTTGGTATACACCATCTTTCAAAAGCTTTCAGGCTTGCTTCCAAGAACGGTTATCTCAAAACTAATCAAAGCGACCCATGTTCGAAAAAACGGCCACCATTTGACTCCTAAGTTCACAGAATATCTCTTTATTATTATTAAACCCAGTACAGACACACTAGAGATTGAGTTTACCAACATGGACAGACAAATATACACTACATGGGCAAAAGTATGTGAACTACTTCAGTAATTTATGGGTCTGGCTATTTAAGCTAACTAACAGGTGCTTAAAATCTAGCATACAACCATATAATCTCCTTAAACAAACATTTTCAGTAGTATAGGGCGTACCAAAGTGTTAGCATCACAGGACACCTCTATGAAAACAGATTGGAAGAACTTGACTGGCCCAGACAAAGCCCACGCCACATACTTTTGCCCATGTAATTTATACAGGTCAAGGAAAGGGGGCGGGGCCACCCCATGATTGACATTACAAACACATCACACGTTTCCTGCATTTACCTGCGGCTCAGAATATTCATCTGTCGCTGTGGGGGTCGCTCCCTCATAATAATCATATAAATCACCGTATTCAACAGCAGTTGTGTACTGCACACAGGAAGAGGATGAGAGAGAGGTTAGCAAAGCATACAAACTTCATGTAGAATGTAATCTACCCTTGGGTGCATTACATACTTTGATGGTTAGATTTACTGTATAGCTGGTTTTATACAATGCAGATGAATTAGACACAGGTTTATCATAAACAGCATATTTTCCATTATTTGCTGCTAATGCGTCCAATTAAAGTAAGCAATGTTAAAACTAAAAACGTAAAGTGAAGCAAAACTATTATGTTTGTGTTACTCTCTACTGTGTGAGTTCAGCATATAAAGAACATACTGCATTAATTACGTTAATGTACATGTTCTGATATACAGGTGGGTGTTTAAAGCCCTATAAAAAACTCCCTGCATGTCTTAAGCAGAGATAACAGCCATGTGTTTGCTGCTTAGATCTATAGAAAGAGTCAAATCTATTTGATTTTATTATTTCTAACACATTTCACAGTCCTATTAGCTATAAAACGTCACGTGTCAAGTAGGAACTTGTGCTGGGAAAAGGGATTTTATACACACAACAAATGTACATACAAAATTTATAATTGGCATCATACATTGTATAGATGTTAAATGTTAAGTTTTGAATATTAAGTTAATATTAATATTAAAATTAGGTTAATATTAATTTAAAAAAGTGTTCGATTCAGCCATTTAAGGTCAGTTTATATACGCATTCATTAATTATGATGAACACATTTTAATGAATGGAATGGATGAATGGTTTTTGCTAAAGTTTATGTAGCAGCTTCTCTGTTTCTATTCCTTCACTACAAATAACGGTTGTTAGACAGCAGGAAGGCCGATAAAGCCATCGAGTCTGGCTCTCCAGGGCTTCATCCATCAAACACAAGTTTACTGTATGTTAATCCTCATACGGCATAAGAGCTCATAAAACAGCCACTGCTCTGATGATTTGGCCCTCTTCCATGGCTGGTGATCAAGTTGAGTAGGACACCATTCATGATTTATGAGCAGAGCATCTCACACACGCTCGCCGAGTCAAGATGCGAGAAAGAGGGTTATTGATTTCTCACATACAGGAAACGACCCTCTCCCTGTTTCAGCAGGATGCATGTGGTGTCTGTGTTTACAGGAGTCATCACAGTGGTCAGAAGTGGCAAGGTGTGGCTGACCTGTTGATATGTTTTTATGTACACTACCGTTCAAAAATTTCAGTCAGTAAATGTTTTGAAAGAAATTAATACTTTTATTCACCAAGGATGCATTAAATTGTTCAAAAGTTACAGTAAAGACTTTTACATTGTTACCAAAAATTCCATTTTAAATAAATACTGTTCTTTTGAACTTTCTAATCATCAAAGTATCCTGAAAAATTCTGGTTTCCACAAAAAATAAAGCAGCACAACTGTTTTCAACACTGATACTAAGAAATGTTTCTTGAACCCCAAATCAGCACATTAGAATGATTTCTGAAGAATAATGTGACACTGAAGACTGGAGTGATGATGCTGAAAATTCAGCTTTGCCATCACAGGAATAAATTGCATTTAAAAAAATATTCAAACAGAAAACAGTTGTCTTAATAATAATAATATTTCACTATGTTACTTAGTGAAACATAGTTTTTACTGTATTTTTTGATCAAATAAATGCAGCCTTAGTGAGCATAAGAGACCTTTAAAAACATAAAAAAAATCTTACCAACCCCAAACGTTTGAACGATAGTGTAAATTATATATTATACATTATATTATATGATTCTTTTATCTATTATCTTTGAAGGATGAGAGAAAATTTCCTTCCATAATGATCATGCCTGACAGTGATGTGTTGATTCTTTCATTTGTTAAATAATAATAATAAAAAAAAATAATAATAATATTAATGTAGCAAAGTATGATTTTAATTTTAAAAAGTTTTGATCATTTAACATTTTTGGCCACTACATAATTCTTGTCTTTGAGTGTTATTTCATAGTTTTGATGACTTGTATATTATTCAAACCTGTGGGTGGAAAACAACAATAAAGTATGAGTGTGTGTCCAATCATTTGACTGGTAGCGTCAAAAGTATCAACAACGTGCCAGACTTCCAGAAACGTTTGGTCTCCTGGATACTGCAGGAAAGACAATTTCCTCTGCTGGTCAGCGCAAAAGGTCTATACTAACCTCCTCTCCGGGCTCCTGTGCTTGCAGTGTGTCCTTGTGGGGGACGTCACAGTCTGGGCTGTAGTGTTCACAGTAGTCATAAGCTGCTTTAGGGTCGGCCACAATCAGCAGTTGTTGGATATCACCCTGAGGGGACGAATGACAGGAAGATACATGAGATACATGTGCCAAAAAATACCTCTGTTATTAGTACTGAGACACATTTATGTAATATATTTTCTGCATGAAAAAATGACAAAGCCATCTTATCCTGGTTGGTCAAAACATAAAAAAAATACCTACTGCAGGAAATACAGGCAACGTGGAAAGGCAAGGCAACAAAACAACAAATCACCAACCACTTTCACAATGAGGAACGCAGGTCAGATGGTTCAGGAAATTGCTGTTTTATACGCAGGTAAATAAAACGTGTTTCATCATGAAACACCTAGTAACAGAAACCCACAAAGGAAGTGTCCTCTCATATAAAATGCTGCCTGCTTAACAATGCTTAGGCAACAATACATAAAACCTTCTGGTCAACAGCACGTTAAACAAATATTTATAAAAAACACATGCATGGTCTTTCTTCCAAATGAGTGGAATCTGTTTCTCGCCATTGTTGCCTCAGAAACGATAGCATACATTCATTTTGCATTATGATCAACAACTGGATGATAAAAGACATAATTTACTGTATGAGGTTTTGATTTAAGTGATTACATTTGTGCATTTTTAGGCCACATGTCTTTTATGGGCTGTAACTGGCAGATCCAGATCTTTCTGTTCAGATGCTGGGGTGGTTCAGAGTGACCCGGGTCTGTTACGAGGAACATGCATGACTTTTACAGTACAGTCCACAAGTAGATCTGGGGGATGTGTTGGAACCTGAGGCCTTTCCTTGGCACTGTCACAAAGAGAGAGAGACAGACTGCGATTTAGCAGCAAGGCAACCCCGAGAAAAAGAAAAAAAAAACTTGTAAGGGGCATGTGTGTGTGTCTGTTTGTGTGTGCATTTTTACACCGTTCTCTGTAAACTCAACTGTATAAACAGCAAAATGCTCAGGTGTGCCCACCTGACCTCCTTATTACAAAATACCACCTTTTATACTTTTATTATTTGATTTATGGAAACAAAATAAGAATTTAAAAGAATATAACACCCCCCCATGTCAATTAATATGACTTTCTTTCTTCCGTGATACACAAAATGTGAATTTTTGAAGAATATCCTGGCCCTCTTTTCAATACAATGAAAGTGGATGAGAATAGCTTCACATTTTCAAGCTTCACATTAACAAGTGGTTCAAATTAATGACTTATTAAGTCATCTGATAGCTTTATGTGAGGAAAGGCTGAAATCTAAGTAGCTGTTCAGTTAAAATCTTGACATCCCCCTAGATCTGAATTCATCAAAGTTCACAAAAGAAATATCGATTGTTCTTTTGAGTCAATGAATCTTTCATTCAGTTTCTAGATCTTACAAATCTAGTTCTTAAGTTCAACTCAGTCAATGATTCAGTCATAGCAGGTTTCAGTGGAAAACTACAGTCACCTTACATTGTAACCTGTCCTTCACACAAAGCTATCAAATGACTTCAGAAGAACTGAAATATAGCACACAAGTCATTCAGACCACTTTTTTTTTGTAATTTTGTAGCTTGACAGCCTCAGTTTTCATTCAGTTTCATTAAAACAAAATCATGTTTCGTTTACCAAAAAGTCATACAGGTTTGGAATGACATGAGGGTGAGTCATTTTGATCATTTTTGGGTGAACTAAGCCTTTAATATCTCATCCAAATCATGCACAAATAATCATAATTTACTAAAAAAGCAATCAAAATCATTACATTTGCTGAAATCATGTCATTCCAAGCCATGTTTGCATTGATCACCTGTTGCCCTATTACATACAGTACATTTACCAGACCATGAAAGCCAGGATTGGCCCCAAAAACCAAGCTTGGCATTACAGTCTGGTGCCAAGATAGAGGGTAAAACAGGGAGATCAAGCCAATGGCTGAATAAAAGTGACAGATATTACCTCATTTGTCACCCACGCACCTTTAACAACTCCCTGGACCCTGCAAAACGTATTCTGAGTAAGATACGCATGAAAGCCTGTCTAATACTAGCACTGAATCAATTCAAACAGACTTAAGTAAATAATTCAGAAAAATCAAGCCCACCCAGTGATTTGCAGTAATGCAATTACATCTGACTTGTATAGAAGCTTGTTTCTGCCATGGAATAAAAAAGTAAAAAAGGTCACTACAATTCTTTTCCTCTGAATTGTGAGAAAAAATTCAGAATTGAGAGATAAAAATAAAATAGCCTTTCTTAGTTTTTATCCTGTGGTGTAAACAAGCATCCACATGCTTGCAATGTATAGGCTATTGTAAAATATGTTTGCTAGATAACTTAAAACAATTGTCTTATGTGGAATTTACAGCAGGTCTCTCTCTCTACTGTCACAAACACAATATTTGCGATACAAAGAATGCTGTAACCCAGATAAATGTTATGGAATATCCATGCAGTAATGTACCAAGATCTTTAAACAACATGAACCAATGGCATCACTCAACAGCAAACTAAAAAGGTTTGCTGTCTTGAAGGCCCAGAGTGTGAAAAACTATTTAAAATGCAGACCCCCAGCATGAGCATACAGTAAACTGTTCAAATAGCAACATAGCACAGTAGGAAACTTGTCATTAAGCGCCATAAAGTCTCAGCTTTACAACATGAGCGAATTTGGTCAATTTTCCTCAGTCATTTAATTGTACTTAACTGGTCTAATTACAGAACTGGAGAGAGCCAATGGTGGCGAACACCAAATTCTAAACAAAAGAAGCAGTGAACTTTGATGTACCCAAGCGTAGAGCCATGAACCGAGCAACCAGGCAACACACCCAACACTATTACGCTACTTCCTCACCTCACCTCACAGACACCATAGTAATTAAGATAGCAACCTGGCCGTTTAGGAAAAAAACATGGATGTGTTTCTGAACTGTCATTCAAAGTGTGTCAACGGTCAATGCAACAATTCATTAAGAAAATGACTTTTGCCAACCATTTTTGTAGGTTTAATTGATTTGGTAGGGGAGCCCTGGTGGTTGAAGAAAGGTTCTTATTCATTATGAGACAGAAATGAGACGTGGAACTAAGTGTGGTTAAAAAAATAAACGCTATGTCATGTTATATCCTTTTTGTAGGCCAATATCCTGCAAATAGCACATTGTATACTTTCAAACTCTGCAAAAATCAAAGGCTTCTTTACAGGCCCTACAAAGCGTTGATTCATTCAGGGCTAGTAAGAAATGTTGCTCCTACAGGTCTGACCAGGTATTTCCGCCATATTTCCCAAAATACACTTCAGAAGTAGCCATACAGTGGGAACAGTCATAGTGTTCACACTCTCACACAGAGAACTCTGTGTTTCCAACCATACAAATCCCAAATGACACGCCAAATCTAAATACTGGGCATACCTCTCGCAGCTTTTCTATATATATATATATATATATATATATATATATATATATATATATGTTTTCTTTTTAGTTAAATTTTAGTATATATATATGTTTTCTATATAAATATATGTTGATTTAAACAGCAAGAGGTAAAAAAAAATAAGAAACTGTCTGGGATGAAACTCCCGAAACTATCAGGTAAAATGTATGAGACCATTTCTAAATTACCTTTTGACAACCCTCTTAACATCTGACTGCTTTTAAGTTCAAAAGCCCAATATATTTAAATATTAAATAATGTATACAGAGCCCCTACGATGTGTGGAAGAAAAAAATAGATATCATGGCCACAAATGAAGAATCCCTGTCCAGAATTTATTAATTCGTGACCATGCTTTATTAATTTGTTTCCTCATTTTGGTTAAATCATGATTAACATGGGAGAACCAACTAATAAGTTGTGGGAATTAATTCTTAATTTGTGCCCACGATATCTTGTTGTCATGTGCGGGGCTCCATAGATATCAAATATTGAGTATTAAAATTGGTATATTAGTTGTCAAAATTAAATATGAATTGGTTAGCAATTCACATAGTAAAACAACACTATAAACACCAAATCATCAACAAAGAGAAAATATTTCAGAATAGAATAGAACAGAAAAAAAGGTATCAAGCCATACTTGAGGAATCACGTAACATCAGATTCACAGCAGCACAAAATTAAGGGTCAATCAAATATTACATCACCATACTAACAACAAGAAGTCCCTATTAAAAATACTTGCAATAAAGCAATATGGGGTAATAAGACATCGTTCCCATCCCCCACTAAGAAAGTTCTATGTTAAGCCCTCCTTCTTACCAAGAAGCAAAGCATATCAATATCACCTGTCAATCGGCCCATTGTACATCATTATTTACAGCTTTAACTCTTTTTGACCCTGCACATTCCACACGGCCTCAGCTGTGACTTTTAAGAGAACAAACGCACACATAACACTATGAAACAACAGTTCCCTTTCAGTCGGTCACTCTCGACGTCACGAATTGGGATCTCGCTTAGAGAGACCAATCTACTTCTAGTGTAACTAAACGAGCCGATGCACATTGACATGCATTTGAGAATGGGGGAGCGCGGGGGTATACGGAGATCCCGCCGGTGGAGCAGTCGGTTGCAATGCAATTGTGTCCAAATACCGCTGCCACCTGGCAGGGCAAGCCGTCGCTCCCCTCCCGGGCCTGTAGGTACTCGTCGGCCCTGACCGGCAGTGCTCATGCGGCCTGCGGAGAAGCTGCCTCTGCCCTACACGCCATGGCATTGTTGCAGGTTCATCAGGCCAAGGCACCGAAGGACCTGCACGAGGGTGGGCATGACCCAGAAGTTCTCAAAGAACTCTGCACCGCTACTGACCTCACGCTATGAGAGACGAAGGTCACTGCGCAGTTTCTGGGCCATGCGATGTCCACTATGGTGGTCCAGGAACGCCATCTCTGGCTGTGTCTTGCCAACATGAGGGAGACTGACAAGACTCAGTTTTTAAATGCCCCTGTGTCCCAGACCGGCCTCTTCGGCAACGCAGTGGAGAACTTCGCCCAGCAGTTCTCCGCCACACAGAAGCAGACTGATGCCATCAAACACACCCGTGCAGCTGCTGCCTCCACC